CCCCGCTTCACTTTTCTTATGGCCCATCCCTTACGGGAATCGTCACCGTTTGTCTTGCAATGTGGACATTATCGTGTTGATCCGAATCGTCGAACGGTTGTCACAAAATGTTTAACACGGTGTTCCGATTCTAACCGTTTTTATTCTTATTTTTGTGTGAGTTTTTGGAACAGACATGACCATTAAAGAAACTAAGGTAAAAATAATGGCCTATGAAACGAGATTAACGTTTCCATCTTCTGTCTTATTATCCCTTGTTGAAGGTTTACTGGAATATCTAGAATTTCCTCTGTTAAAGTTCAGTTATTTTCAATACTCCTGTTACTTATTTCCTAAAGTATTTTCGTGCCAAATTTCGTGAAATTCTAATGAGTGGTTCTTGAGAAATAGGAGTATTTCCCAGAGTGCAATTTTTCATTCAATCGCAATGTTTAGACTTACTACGCATGCGTTGCAGTTAACTGGGTTCTTTCAGTAACAAAGAAAAAGCTGAGAATTGCTGGGTTCTTTGCATCCTTGCCTTTCCTAACATATCTTTGTAATGAAAGACTGAAGCCACTGCATTCAATTACAGAGAATAATAGCACAGATAGTGCAGGTCAAGAGTAAATAAAATGATCGCTCTATTGACGGCATGTTTGTTTTTTGCAATCCTTGTGCGTGCGCTGAATCGCATCAGCAAAAGCGCGCACGAAAACTGTGTTCGGCCACCTTAAATGCAAGGGAAAGCATAAGTAATTCTGCAGTTTTGTGGAGGGTATCAGCCAGTTTCACAGCGCCGATGGTCATGTTGCCACTGACAGTCGTGATGCTAATAATTGTGTAAATAAATCTACTTATCTCATTAATTCTGAAAAAAAACAAAAACACTTCAATCCTGTTTGTTGCAATGCCATTTGTAAAGAACAAAAACTTACCTTTTACCAGATACTTCTAAGATTTTGTACAAATATTCTGTGTTTTGTTGGAATCTAAAATGATGCACCTAGGTGTTTTATGGCTGTTTTCAAGTTTGATTGGGATCAATTTATCATGGCTGAAATGCTATTTTAATATAATGCATAAATTAGTCTTTCAACACAGGAACCTGGGTATTGAAGTTGTTGTGTGAGGTCTTTCCATTTCATAAACAATATGAAACGTGTAAAGGAATACTTTTTATCAACAATTACCTTGCTCTTCACTTTGGTAAATATCTTCTGATTTTTCTGTGATCTTCTTTTTAACAAAATTAAAATAGGGTAAAGTTCTATTTCCTGCATTCCATTACCCTCCGCTGTCTCCTTTCGCTATGACTTTCCACCACGTGGGCGCTGATGAGCACATCTTAATTAAATCAGTTTCGAATCATGTCACCCGCTTTTTTTTTTCATTCGTACTGATCCAATTTGTTTTCAAACAAATTATTACCTGAACAATTTTATTTCCATTTTATTTCTCCAATATCATGCTCAGTACTGACCTACTAACATTTGGAGTAGCCGGCGCAGTATTCAGAATAGCCGGTGAAATGCGCAGGTTGCCGGCTTATTTTGACAACTGTGCTTCTTGTTCTGCTTGTTTAGGAATTTCATGCATCCTCAGAAATCTGCAATGGAAACGAGTATACTGTTACTGATGCAGATGGTAAATTCTTATATTGCCAGCCATGTGATACATGTCATGAAGGATACGGACTGGAACCAACATGTGGCAGCACTGTTCAAAGGCCAGTTGAAAACGTTTCCTGTGAACAATGCCCTACTGGAACATTTTCCAATAAATATGACTCTGGGCCGTGTTATAAGTGCCAGGTTTGTGATGAACACCAGGTTGTGATATCGTACTGCAATAGCCAGGCAGACACAAATTGCAGTCAAACTTGCAACAGCGGCTATTATTTCGCTAGGGGTGTATCACAGTCCTGTCACAAATGTTCCTATTGTTGTGATGATGAAAAAGATGAAGAACAAGTGGATTGTGCCAGGCAAGGTCTTAAAAAGAGTAATCAACATTGCAGTCATCGAGTTGATAAGAACTGTGCTCCAGATCTGTCCACAGACATTTCTTCCCTATCCACTGATGGAAAAAAGCAATTTGACTTAGGAAAAACACTTGCAATATTTTTTGGTACACTTGCTGGTGTGGCTATTATTGTTCTTGTTGTGTATGTATTATGGAAAAGAAGACAGAGCCATGGTCAAGGGCAGATCACAGCACCCGTCGCTCAGGATCTAGAGATTCCCAGCATAGTCATTGGTGATGCAACAGTTTCTACATGTGCATGTAAGTAGTATTTACTGGGTAATTTCCATGGTTTTGAAATATAAATTAAAAAAGAAGAAAGAGGAAAGTGTGAGAATTAATGAACATGTACTGTTGTGAAAGTAACTATCTCGTCAATTTTCTGGCTTCATGCAGGATTGTTTTGTGTTACTTTGATACAAGTTGAATTACCGGCAATTAGACCCAAAACTTGGCTAGACTTGAGTAACTTAACCCCAGCTAGCCAGAAATTAATGCTACAGTGTGTAAAGTCACCCAGAAATTCTTCTCCCATGCTTTGGGTTAAAGGTTTCCAAATGTTGTTGGTTAATGTTAGTAATCATCTTAATCAAATGCCTATGATCATTACACATTGAGCTCTAAATATTTATTACCCATAAGTAAAAATTTTAATTAAAATATTGTAAATAATGTGTAGCCTGTATTAAACACAGTCACAATATTACTGACAACGTGCATGTTATTTTGTTCTCTTTTTATATTGTAGTAGAAGAATACAGAAACGTTAGTCAAGATGCAGCATTAACTTCACCTACCACTGGTTCAACACTTAAGTCATCTCCAGTCTCTAGACACATCAATCCAGGCTTTGCTTCATCCAGCCCGGGAACTCCTCAAGTTTCTCCTCATGGGACTCCTCAGTCACAAAAAAGCCATGATTCTCACACCAGTAGGGGTCAGTACAATTGTATGTGTTGTCAGTATATTATATACAGTTAAGCCTTGCTATTTCAAGGAAGGTGCGCTGGCCTCATGGTTAGTGCTCTCGACTCCAGATCAAGTGATCTGGGTTCAAGCCCTGGCTGGGGACATTGTGTTCTGTTCTTGGGCAAGACACCGTACTCTCACAGTTACATGTAACCTCTCTCCACCCAAGTGTATAAATGGGCACTGGCAAAGTTAATGCTGGGGGTAACCCTGCGATGGACTTGCCTCCCATCCAATGGGGAGTAAAAATACTCCTAGTCATTTTATGCTACTGAAACCAGAGATATGCTGTAAAT